TTTAAAAAACAAACACCTATCCGGGTAAAATCTAATGCTGTCGTTCGCCTACAGAATGGGTAGTTATCCACAGAGGCATCCATTAATGTAAGGGAAGGAAAAACAGCTTTCTTCAATTCCCCATTCTTCCTGCAACCACCCCCTAAAACCAGTGGTGTTCAAACTTTTCCCCGAAGAGAGCCAGATTTGATGAAGTAAAGGACCGTGAGGGCCGACCAAATTTGTTAACCTTTTTTTAGGATTGAAGTTATTCAGCTTTCTTTAGGATTTTACCTCAAAGTTGTTGAGCTTTCTTTAGGATTGAAGTTGGCAAGGTGTTTTTTTTTAGGAATTTACCCCAGGAAATAAACTGTCACAGGGGCCAGATTAAACCGACCGGCCCCCGAAACGGACTTTGGACATGCCTGCCCTAAAACTATTTAAGAGGGTTGAGGGATCGTCTAGAACAGTGTTTCCCAACCGGTGTTCCGCGGCACACCAGTGTGCCGTGAGACCTTGCCTGGTGTGCCGTGGGAGGGAGGCGGGAGAGGCGGGGCGGCGGCGGCATCTCCTGCTGGATGCAAATCCAAACATGGCGGGCGCCTCCCTCGCTCCTTTGTAGGCGGACCATCGAGAGAGAAAGAAAAGGAGGCGAAAGAGCGAGAGAAGGCGCCTGCGCGGAAAGAGGAGCGAGCAGTGCGCCTGCGCGCCGCGGCGCCCGAGATCGCTTCTCCCCACCGCCCCTTGCTTCAAAAGAGGTCCGGGGACAGCGGGAAGCGCTTCGCGCTGCCCCCGGACCTCTTTTGAAGCAAGGGGCTGCGGGGAGATCGCTTCTCCCGGTGCTCCGAAGCGGGGCGGGGGGCGGGGGCGGGAACACCTGCCCCAGCCGCCCCGCTTCGGAGCGCTGCTCCAAAGCGGGGCGGTGGGGCGGGAACCTCGCACCCCGCCGCCCGGCATCGGAACGATGCCCCGATGCCGGGCGGTGGGGCGGGAACCTCGCACCCCGCCGCTGGGCATCGGAACGAGGTCCTGGACCTCTTCTGAAGGCAGGCGGGGGCAAAAGTCTTTGCTCCCCCCGCCTGCCTTCCCAGGACAGCGGAGACTTCTCCGCTGCCCCGGGCGATCTTAAAATGCTGGCGGGTGGGAGCGAAGCGTTCGCTGCCGACCCCCAGCATTTTAAAATCTCCTCGGGGCAGCGGAGACTTCGCTCCCGCCCGCCAGCATTTTAAAATCGCCCCGGGACAGCAGGGGCTTTTAAAATGCTGGCGGTCGGCAGCAAAGCCCTCCTGTCCCCGGAGCTTGCGGGGCGGGAGGTGGGAAGAAAAGCCCTTGTCCCCCCCCCAGCCTTCAGAAGAGGTCGGGGGACAGACTGTCCCCGGACCTGGTCTGAAGGCGGTTTCCCTAGGAACGCATTAATTGATTTTCAATGCATTCCTATGGGAAACCGTGCATCGCAAGACGAAAAAACTCGCAAGACGAAGAGACTTGCGGAACGAATTAATTTCGTCTTGCGAGGCACCACTGTACTTTTTATATAGTCAATATAGGCACAGAGTTAAATTTTTTAACATTTTCTAATGGTGGTGTGCCTCGAGGTTTTTTTCATGAAACAAGTGTGCCTTTGCCCAAAAAAGGTTGGGAAACACTGGTCTAGAACACTGCAGAGTAAATCACCTCCCATTTCCTTATGTTAGTAGATGACTCTGCTACATCAAAAGCCACCCCAAAAATGGAAAGAAAGCTTTGGATTTCACCCATTAGATTTATTTCTATTGCTGTATCTATAGTTGATGTATTGTTAACACACTGATGAGAGTATTGCCACTGTCCTGTATACATTACTGTATACATTACTGACAAAAGATGAAGCATTGACATAAATTGAGGAAAGACTATATGGTCTTTCTGTTTTCAATTTGACTGTCTTGCGATTTGTTGAAAATCAAAATCAAACGAAATATAAAATGATTTGTACTTACTAACTACATTAGCTTGCCCAGTGAAAATGGTATACTGCAACTCATAGGAGACCACACTGAATTCATCATCTGACGTCCAGTGGACTGTGATTGTGTCATAAGAAGCTGTACAAAGCTCTTCTCTAATGGTTGGGGGATTTGGAGCTGTGAAAAATTAAAAGCAACTGTTAACATTCGTCACATAACTTTTCCCCTTCGTTCCAATCATTCATCCCATTTGTCACATTCACTTCTTCTCTACAGTCTCGCATTATGTTCAAAAATTTGTCAGCTATGCCTAGTACTTTTTTTCTGGGGGGAAAGGGGGAGGAACTCACAACGAAATAAATAAATGGCTAGATATGTTGTGGGCCCAGTTGCCCCCCGCCCCCAGGCAGTGGCTAAATGTAAGACACGATGAAAAAACAATGATTTGGGTTACAAATAGCCACAACTTTATTGATTAGAGATGTAGATGGATTTTTGGCTTGGGCATTGGGTGGGTTAATCAAATAGACAGAGAGATATCGATTGATTGATTGATTGATTGATCAATCAATCAATCAATCTATCTATCTATCTATGCATACACATGCACAAACATACGCTATACATTCTAGTATCTTACCTGTAAGATAATCAAGGCATTCCAGTAGTTTCTTCTCTCTGGTAAAATCTAGCGCAAAGGTGTCAAAAGTGTCATTGAGATTAATTTCAGGAATTAGAACCTGGGAAGATGCTGTTGCCATGGCGACTCTGCAGTGGAAGAAACAGGGCTTATTTAGAGCCTGGGTTCAGGCTGGGAAATTATTTTGATGTCTAGGGTACATAACATACATAACACAAGTGGGGAGGGGAGGGAAGTGTGCTGAATGCCGTTTCTACTGCACCGAATAGCAATAAACATTCCCATGGCCATTGGAACACAGAAAAAGTCCATATTATACTAGGTCAGGCAAATTGTCTATCTAGTGCAATATTTCCTACTCTGGTTGGCAGTAGCTCTTCAGGTCTTGGAAAGAGGCCTTTTACACCAACTGTTACCTACTCTTTTTACCTGGAAATGCCAGGGACTTGACCTGAGGCCTCCTGTAGGCAAAGCAGTACTCTACAGTCCCTATTAGCCAATGTGATGGGGGGCGGCCCTGCTGCTAGTAATGGAAAGAGGCAAATTTAGGAAGTCTTGAGCTCCAACTTATCTTATTTTAGAAAGAAGACACAGGGAAGAAATATTCTTTCCACCCAAACAAGCCTGTAGTTGCTCTAAGACTCACTGCAGGAGTCATATTGCCAAGCATCAAAACTACTCAAAGTAATGTCATATTTATGTTATGTTGCTTTTGTTAAAAAAAAAAAAGCATCTCAAGTTAAGACTGGGGTGAATGAGGTGAACAATGGCCCCCTTTTTGGTCATCACAATATCTTTTTGCAACACAGTAAACTGAATGGGGCTTATTTATTCTGCTGAAAATTTGACTAGGATTCAGCTTAAGCATTAAACGTGCTGGAAAGGAAACATCAGAATGAGGGTTTTATTTCATACCATTCAAGAAACCCTGCAGAAGCATGCAGTATTTATTTCTTGTAGAAAATGATTCTGGCAGGTGTTCTTTTGCACTTTTTCTTAACACAGCTCCACTAACTAGCATGCTATTCCAGGTGTTCACACATTTTCTTTTTATAAAGAGAGGTGTAGAGCACTTCTCCAGCTTTATAGCAGACACACCATTTTAACTCTGCAATCTGCTGGGTGAAGCTAAAGCCGTAATATTTCATTAATGTCAGTGGGGTGGGAAGCTGTATAGGTTTGTTTGTTTTGTAGCTTGTATTTAGTTTTGGACAAGTTTCAGCACTGTACAAAAGCTTACAAAGCAATGAAGTTTTCATTTGGGGATCTCAAAGACATGACAACGCATACCAGAACTGTAAGTGGATTATTGTGTTTTGAGAAGATTCAAAAGAAAATTCACATTCACTCAGGCATAGAGAATAAGCTTCCTTCTTGTACAGTGGGGAATAAGCCAATCTTGCCTGTTTGGAAGCAGCTACACACTTTCAATCAATTGCACTCATAATATATACTAAATCAAAATGTTTTTATTGCTCCAGTGGTCCAATTTCCCAAAATGAAAGATTTAATTCTCCACCTAGTACTGAAAATTCAAGTTCAAAACTCATGGCAATGACTTCAATCTCAGTTTATGACATCTAAAATTTAGTATGAATTATGCATTTTCATGAATTGGGTAACTTCTTCTGGTTCAGATGAATGCTGAAAAATAGCCACTTATTCCAAACCATGTTCAGTTATTTCCCTAGCTCTAAAAAAAGACATGTAAGGCAAACATGCTGTCTAAATAAAGCAGACATCATGCTGGTAGCTCATACACAATCATCCTGAGGAGTGCATGTAGCTACTGCCTTATAATTATGATTAATTCATTTATATACCACTTACTTGCCAAAATGGCTTTGAATCAGAAGTATAATTTTTTATTAAATATTGTCTGTACACGGTTTGGTTGGGTGCAACTACTAATAAGATTTCTATGGTGCTTGCAATACTTTCCAAGCAGAAATCATTTTGAATGTCTTGACCCCCATGTATATGGAAGCACAACTTGGTTACAAAATGCTCCTGAGGTTAACTAATAGAGCTACCATCCTTATTTTTAAAAAAATCCAAAATTGGTCCTTGCATAGCACGCAGCTTCTGGGACCTAAGCTTGTGGATCAAACTAGATTTGACATTAATTGTGTATTTGCATTTAACATGAACAGTTTTGTTTTTTGTTTTTTAACGTAACCTGCAGCCAGGGGAGTGGGACCCCATTACTGGGATCAAAACAGGTATGGAAAGGGAGTTTAATCCTGACAAAAATATATCCTCCATATTGGGAGGAAAGATTCCATTGGAGGAAATGGTTGACCCAAATGAAAGCACAGAAGTAATACAAGGTTTTTTGCTGTGCACATTCTTAGCAGTGCATTTTCAGGGGCTGTTCTGTTCTTTTCTGTACCTTATCTACACAACAGCATATTGCTATTTTCTATATTTTAAAGCAGAAATGTAGTTACCATGATGCGAAAGAAAGAAACCCAATTCAAATAGCTGCAGGAAATTTGGGATCCTTAAAGAACCTGGAGTTTGAAATGAAGCTTTTGCCCAGTTAAAACAGGATGTGAAATGTAAGTAGTATTTTGTTTTCTGCTTATTAGATATAGCTTCTTCAAACTGATAGTATAACATTTTTATGATTTGTCAAACCCTCTTCTATGATAGGGTTGAGAAACATCCATAGCCAACAGTCAGGGATGATGGGAGTTGTAGTTCAGCAACACTTGGAGGGTAATATTTTTAACATCAGTTCTACCATTCTATTAAATATGTGGAAGCATCTACAGCCTTGCAGATTCCTATGCACCGTATTTTTCGCCCTATAGGACGCACCGGCCCATAGGACGCACCTAGATTTTTGGGGGGGAAATAAAGGGAAAAAAATTATTCCCCCCCCCCAGGCGCAGGGCTGGGGCGGGGGAAGCCCGAGCTTTCCCCTCCCCCAGCCCCCAGAACGGGACCCAGAGCGATGCTGAAGCTGCGTGCAGCTTTGGCATCGCTCTGGGAGCTTGCGGGGCTGGAGGAGGGGGAAGCCCTCCGCCAGCCTTCTAACCAAGTCGGGGGACAGCGGGAAAGGCACGCTGCGCCTCCCCGCTGTCCCCCGAGCTTGTGGGGCTGGCGGTGCGGCTCTCCTGAAGCCTTGAGAGCGAGAGGGGTCGGTGCGTACCGACCCCTCTCGCTCTCCAGGCTTCAGCGAAAGCCTGCATTCGCCCCATAGGACGCACACACATTTCCCCTTCATTTTTGGAGGGAAAAAGTGTGTCCTATAGGGCAAAAAATACGGTATTTCAAGAAGCAGTTTTCTCAACAATGTTTGGCATTTTGTTTTTGAATACAGTCATACCTTGGATCCCGAACACCTTGGACTCAGTCATTTTGGCTCCCGAACGCTGCAAACCTGGAAGTGATTGTTCCGGTTTGCGAACTTTTTTTGGAAGCCGGACACCCGACGAGGCTTCTGCGGCTTCCAATTGGCTGCAGGAAGCTCCTGCAGCCAATCAGAAGCCACACTTTAGTTTCTGAACGTTTTAGGAAGTTGAATGGACTTCCGGAACGAATTCCATTTGACTTCCAAGGTATGACTGTACTGGCCACTGGAGACAAGCAACAGTGGAGGATTAGCCACATTGTACTTCATAAGATCTTCAGAACCACCTGACTGGAATCTGTTAGAACCAGAATGTTTTACTGTCTGGCCTGACCCAGCAGGGTTGTCCCTGTGTGCTTGTGACACTACCTTTCAGTTATGTTTTTAGCAGACTGCAAGAAGCGTGCGTGATCATTCTCCTTCAGAGATTGCTCAGCTTGTGAGATCAGAGAAGTGGAGCGCTCAATGCACTGCTTGCAATTAGCTATCTGCTGGGCGAGTTTCCTCAGTCTCACCACCTGCAAAAAGGGAGAGAAGAAAAAAAGTCAGGTGCATGAATTCAAAAACCATGCTTTTCTACAATTTTACCATTCTTTAAGGCCACGGCATAAATTGGGTGCTAATGCGAGTGGCTTAACTAAGAAGCAAAAGTACCATTTACACCTGCTCTCTCTGAGCCTATATTGTTCCAAGTAAAAGCTTTATTCTCCTCACTGGGGAGATCCAAAGTAAGCACAGCTGGCAGATTTTTCCAATGGCAGGAAACGTCACTTCCCATCGGTCTCTGCTTCTCAGATAACAAAAGTCTATTGTGATGGCCAGTTCCTCCAAAATGATGTCTTCAAAGCAGCTTACAAGGTGTGCTACATATTGCTATAAATTCCTGAGCTTGTTTACAGGGGAAAAAGTGACCGTAGAATATAACCTGACTGAAAGGAGTAATTCATGTGAACTGACAATAAAATAAATGTTAAGCCTCAGATGCTTCTATTTCTTCAGCTTTGTCTTGGGTTGAATTTAGTTAAGTAGAAAACACTGTGATGTTTGTCTGTGATATGCTGGAAAATGTGTATGCTGCACACAACCTGAAGTTGTGAATTTTAAGCTTGCCTATCTACAGCTGATAGAAGATACTGTCCTGCAATGCCCCAGATCACAGGAAGCCCCCCTCAGCAGAGTGTCATTAGCATCAACATTGCTGGATATTCCAAATGGAAATGGAAGAGGAAGGAAATCTAATAACTCTGTACCTAAGAAACACATTAAGCTCTGATTACATGTTTAAAAACAGGAAATTGATAATTAAGCAGACTGGCAGCAAGTTTGGAATTTTAAAGTAAAGATAACACAAAAAAATACTTGCAGGGTTGCACTTATTAAGCAATAAACATTGCATATCATGACTCTGCTGGCAGACAATTAACTAAGATAAGAGTTATGTATCCTGACTTTAAGGCCACAACAAACATGAGATTTATGTCCGCAGTCCACCATCAGTGTATTTCTTTGAAAGTAAGCTTTAAGTTCAAACCACTTTAATTCTATTTCATTTTAGAAAAATGAGGACTGCCGTTTACACTGAATCCTGAACAAGTTTCCTCAGAAGTGTCCCGTGTGTGTGTGTGTGTGTGTGTGTGTGTTAGAATTGGTGCCTTAAAGAATCTATAGTTCACCCTGGATTGTGCCACAGGAAACACCAGGAAGTCAATGTTGGTTGGTTCCTGCCTTCCCCTCTTATACCGTATTTTTCGTCCCATAGGACGCTCCGCCCCATAGGACGCACCTAGTTTTTTGGGGGGGAATAAAGGAAAACCCCCCCTTTATTTCCCCCCCCAAAAGCAGGTCGGGGAAACCAAACCAGGTCGAGGAACAGCAGGATGGCGGCGCTGCGCGTCCCTGCTGTCCCCCGAGCTTGTGGGGCTGGCTGATGTCTGCCCGGCGCAAGGGGTGCCCTGCTTCAGGGTGACCCGCGCGCCGGGCAGCAGGCTGCTATCCGCAGCGTGGGGAGCCCTGCGGGGAACTCCTGCAGGGCTCCCCACGCTGCGGATGTCTGTCCGGCGGGCGGGACGCTCTGCTTCAGGTCGCCCTGCCCGCCGGGCGGCAGGCTGCTATCCGCAGCCTAGACAGCCCTGCGGGACCTCCCGCAGGGCTGCCTAGGCTGCGGATGTCTTCCTGAAGCCTGGAGAGCGAGAGGGGTCGGTGTGCACCGACCCCTCTCGCTCTCCAAGCTTCAGTGAAAGCCTGCATTCACCCCATAGGACGCACCCAGATTTCCCCTTCAGTTTTGGAGGGGAAAAAGTGCGTCCTATAGGGCGAAAAATATGGTAGGTGATGAAGTAACAGAAAACATTTAAAAGGATTATTCTTGCCAACAACACTAGTGTTCTGTAGATTATTTTTTTAAACACCCTTACATTTTTAAATAGTAACTGTTTTTATACTTCTATTCTAGTCAGCAGCAGAGACTACATTTGTTCCTTAAATCTGTATTTTGGTGGATCAACATTTTAAAGTATTGTGAGGTGATAACTCATTAAGTATTACCCTAATTGGTTTGAATATCCAAACAGAAAGTGGTGATTGTTTTTAAAATACTCTAATACCAAAAACGGTCACTTAACTTGCTAGGGAGTACGTGTGACAGTCACACAGATAAATTCTACATTGCTATTAGCATTTTGGGGGAAATAACTGTATTTTACCCAGGTACAAAATATAAACAGACCCAGTTCTGGGTGGAAATGCAATAATCCCACAAAGCAAAAGCAACTGCCACAGCAGATATCTGGAAACAGTTGATAAAGCCTATATCTCATTTCCTTCTGTTCTTTGCTGAACCATTCAGACCTTTGATACTCATTTCTGGATATATTTGAGCTTCCATGAAATTATCTAAGAAAAGTTGTGCAGGTTTCAACTTTACCAAAGGCCATGCTAAAAATTCTCATTTCATTTATTCAATAAACTTCTATACTTACTTCATCATAAATAACCCCAGGACAGCTTATATGTTAAAAATATTACAACTATACAAGCTCACAGCAGAAAGCTTTCTCCCTTTACAAAAGGGTACCTCAACTCCCCCAATTGCCTTGGTGAGGTGGCATGTCAAAATCCATACAATATAGATGCCAGGCTACATTTTTAGATTGGAAGAGCACCAGCCTTTTTTCTTTTAGCATTGTGGGCAAAACATTCTTATCATTTTTTACTTCTCAGCACATTACCAGAGAAATGCCTTGCGTTACATTTTAAGCTTGCAGTGGGACCACATGAAGGGCTAAAACCTAGAGGCAGGGTATGGCAAATCTGCTGGGTTGCTTAAACCATGTGGTCAAACTGCTAATCCAGCTGGTTAAACACCTGCTTAATTTGCTGGAAAAAATGTACTGACACACTGCCCTTCCTTGGAAAATAACTGTGCTTCTGCTGTCAGCAGAAAAAGAGACTTTGGGAATAAGTACAAGCCTTGTTTGAGAAAGCAGCGCCTCAGGCTTGTTAAAGCACTTCTTTCATAGCCCAATGGCATAAAGCAATGAACAAGAATCACTTCTGTCAATAAAAATACTAATAAGCCTTTTCCTTCCCTTCAACACAAACCTTGGGTCTGAGCAGGCCTGCCTGACTTAATGGAAAGTTTGCCATGAACTTTGGTGCAAAAATGGTGGGTTTCCACTGCAATCATGTAACCAAGGAGATTATACAGAAGGTTGTCACATGAGATCTTGGAGGGAGCTGTATTTTGCTAATAGCATAAAGAAGTTCAGGGCCTGTCAAACAACAACTTGGGGAATGGTAGTCTTCAAGCATATTTGAGTCAGCTCTTGCCTACAGGGCTTTTTATTTTAAGTTAATTGGAATATCTTGACAGCTAAGTGAACCATTTAACCTGCCCCTGACTTTATTTCTTGTCAAAGCCTTTTCCCACACAGGGAGAGTTTATGTTTGACTTCTTCAAGCCACTTTAGCAGTTAAAGATTGAATGGCTTGCACTTAAAAGCAACAGGAATCATGGTCAAACTGATTTCACAGTTAGCTAGGTAACCAATTTAAAGCTTGGGTGAATAACTGATACTTACTTCACACAATGGGCTGACATCAGAAATAGCTGTACTACAGTGATTAAGGAATGGCATTTAACTTGAACTCCTTCTACCTTGCAATGCGTTAAAATATTTCATTCCTTCTCCCTTCTGTAACATATAACCTGCAATTTTCCACTACTGTTCTCAGATTCTCCTGGTCTTCCCCCATGATTTCCCTTTGGTTTTGATTTTAAGGTTCATGTTAGCAAAGCTAATTTGTATACATACATTTAATAAATAATTACATTATCTACAGAATAATTTTTTCCTGAAGATTATGATATCTCAGGTTAGCAATTTCAACACGACTTTCATATTTTAGTTCGCACACAAAATGTATTTGCTAAAGCATTACAGTATTAGCAGTTTTGGTAAACTAAAAACATATTTACTGCCATCTTGGGGTGGGGGGTGGGAAACTGTGCAGGCATTTTTAAGACAGCATAACAGCAAAATAAAAATTGCACGAGATACTATCAACATTATAGACATCCAGTAGATTTTAAATGGTGACTGAACGTTTGCTTAATGAGTTGTGACAGCATAGGCACTTCTTTCTACGAAATGCAGTAGCTGCCAAGGAGTTTTCAAGGGCTTGTATATTTTGCAGAATACTAAAACAAGAAGTCAGAGAAGTCACAAAGCATAAAGCATTTATCAAGAATGTTAATCTATTTGAGGACTTCCAAGGTAAAAATTCTTACCTTCCCTTCCTTGATTTTGGTTCCAATAATCTGACGCCTTTGTTGGATTATTTCAATAAGCAGGTCACATTCCTCCATCAGTTTAGTTTCTTGTCGGGACGCATTCACCTATTTTTTTAAAAAAAATTAAAAAATGCATCAGTCTGTGATGTAAAACCAAGTTCCATTTTCACTGAACTTTTGTCACATTTTAGACACTTTAATTTTCACAAAGTAACAAATTGAACGACCCGTTCTCATTGAAATTAGCAAAAATAAGAATTATAACATTATTTACTTGGTAGCAACCTACAAAGACACGCATGTAAGTTTTGACAGAAGAACTGGTGGGTTAGGGACATAGAATGGAATATTGATAATCCTCTCTGCACGAAACCTAGTTGCATTAAACTTGACACATGCCACTTGTGGATGTGACTCACATGATGGCAGTGACTTAATGGTGTCTCACCATGACCTCACAAATCACCACGGGAAGAAGGGCCTGTCAGTTAACTGATAATAAGTCGCAGATTATTTCCTTCATATGGCTTCCATCTGGAAGATTTTAGCTAGCTAGTGTGGTGTGACATCAAACATGTCACCACCTGTGGTGGACTGGTTGGGTGCAGAGGAGTGGTGGAAGCCACCATCTGGGGTACCCTCAAGGCCACACCCAGGGGAAGAAGGCTCAGAGCCAGGGGACTGGTGGTGGGATGACGATGTGTGGTCAGAGGGAGAAGGAGGAGCAGCTTGGGAGGGGGAGGTGTTGGAAGCAGAAGAGGTAACAGGGTTTGGTGAGCAGGAAGAGGCTGTGGCAGAGGGCAGTCCAGACTCAAAGACAGGCGAGGAGGGGGTACCAGGAGACAGAGATGAGGCAGGCTGCAGAAGAAGCTAGGGAGTCTTCTCCTCCTGCTGCGACTAACTCCCCTCCCTCCTGGACTCCTAGATCATGCAGAGATGAAGAGGACAGAACAGTTGTGTGCAGATGAAGTTTGTGACTGCTTAGGAAAGACCCTGGAGAATAGGAGCTTTATGAAACGGGGAGATGATGGGGACATTCAGTCCTGGCAACGGCCTTGTTGGAGAAAGACCTACTGGGAGACATTTCTAGGATCACTGGGCCTGCGCTGGTTTGGTTTCTTGAATAAAGAGTTAACTTCACTGGCACCATGTTTTTCTTTGACTGCCGACCTACGCTTGACTCCAGCTCCTGACATCACCCTTTATGCACATGTGCCCTTATGTTCTCCCAAGAAAACAGCAGGAAAGGACCACATGTTGAAACACTGTCCCAAATTTCATCAAATGGTGTCATCCAGGAAAACCATGGGGAAATTATGGCACAAAACTCCCACAGTTTTCTCGGATAACAGGGATAAAAACATTTCTTCTTCTTCCTGGAACCATGTAACGCAGAAATGAGTTAATGAGTGTTAAAACTGTTGCTACTTTTCCAGGAGTGGCGTTTACGTTGTGTGAAAGCACACATAAAAAATATCATGTAAGGAAACATTGGGATAATGGACTAATGTGTTGTTTGAATGCTGCCTAACTCTCCTAATCTGCAGCTGCCCCATCTAGCCAGCAGAATCTATCTAATGTTATTTTCCGCCATGCCACACTAACTTTTCACTATCTTAAAAAACCTGCACTTTGTCAACTATTCTGACAAGCTGACAACTTCCCACTGAGAAGTAAGGCTGTTTGTAAACATTTTCATGTGATAGCACAGCAGCTCAGCTTCTGACAGGTAAGAGTGTGTGTGTGTGTGTGTGTGTGTGTGTGTTTTGCACAGTGATTCCTTAGTATTTTGGAAAGATAATGGGAAATGTGATCCAGTTCTGACATATACACAGATAAATCTCAAAAACCACTTTGGCTGGAAAGGTAGAGGGCTATGGTCTACTAATTGGCTGCATAATGTGCAACCAAAGCGTTCCTTTTTCAGGGCTCTGGCAATCTCAGGCAGGTCTTATATTAACTGTTTGCAACATTAACCCGCTGCAAAACATAACCTCAAAGGTTGCTCCAGCATAAATACTAGATAAGGATGGCATTGATGTGCTGTTAAGTGAATTGTGTAGTTTTAGGCAAATTTCTCCAACCTTTTTCTGAATGAAGATAATGAATTTGAACAAACAAACAAAGGAGAATAGATACTATTCTGTAAATCTAAACTTTGTTTGCTAAGACTGGCTTGTTATTTTTGTTTGTGTTTCAATTATTGGGTTACGGCTGCTTTTCTGTTTCCTTTTTATTTGTAAGGTGCTGTGAGTGACTCCTTTGTGCAGGGGAAAACTGGGGCAAAAAAAGATGTCTAAAAGCATAAAGAAATGCACGATTCCCAGAGTATTAGTAAGGAGCTGGAGCACACAAACAACACCATGACAAAGGCAAAAGAAACCATTCATTCTTGTTCCAAGTGGAATGTATTTTGCTGCTTCTTATAAACATCTCGGTTTAACTAGGGAAAGTAATATGTGGGCATAAACTGAAAGTATTATGGTGGACATAGAATCCTTAGCAGATCTTAGAATCGAAGGGTTAGAAGGGACCCCAAGGGTCATCTACTCCAAATGTTTGGCAAATCACAAGCAACTGTCTAAATAGGTACCAATGGCTGAGACGTATCTTTCTAAAATCAACCCAGATGCCCTTGCTGAGGCAGCATTTGGTACGCGTGTGCTACAGCAAGTCCTACCACCATCAACTCTTGAATTTCTCATTCAGGTTGTAGCTAGCTTTAGTACCTTCCCTTGAAAACCAAGTTTTGCAAACCTGACTTCAGGCTGTGTTTTGCTGGCAGTAAAGCCACAGCCAAGCTGTTGGGACAGGCTCCACCCGTAACACTAAACCATGGTTTGCCTGTGGCTGTCAAACTGCTGCTGTGTGTGATCTCTTAAAATTCTTAATGGAAAATGGGAATCTTATGAATAATGGCATTATGGATTGCAACTCTCCTGTGGCTCCTCTGCATGAGGTTCAATAGAAGACTAGGGACAAAAGAGTTTAAACAGTTATTTTCTTGGCTCCCAACTGCCTGCCCTCCCCACAGCTGCTTGACCTATAAGAAAGAAATGAATTGCTGAACTGCACAGAATGTGAGGTTCTCCTGATATATGTCTATTTGTGTGTGTGTAAATGCCTATTTCTGGTTCCAGCTGAATTTACAAACTCATATACAATATCTACACTTGTAATAAAACGTCTCTTATGAGAATCACATAATGGCTTGCTTGTACTAAAACCAAATGAAATACATGCCACATAATTAATCACACCACAATAATTGGCAAAACACCACACGCTATCTCTTTCTCTCATTAGCTTGGTAGATAAACATTCTGAACTCCCTCATAAGGGCTTAGGCACTGTGTAAAGAGATCACTAATTATCACCACATTGGTATGAACTCCATTTCCTTCAAGCCGTTTTCTTCTGCTTATCTTGCCAAAGATTTTAAAAAACAACAACCTCAATTATGCTTAGGGCTAAAGGAAAAGAAGCAAGACAATTGTTTGCTAATTGTTCATATTAAATACACAAGGGAAATGAAGGAGTTAAAGACACATCTGTATGCAGATGTTTTCATTCTTATTTTATGATATGGTTAGTATGAGAAGGATAATAGATTTTCCATATTACAATAGAAATGCAACAAGAAAAAATAAATCACAAAAAATAATTAATCAGCCCTGTTTTGAAGCCCCATATGATTATGCTAATATTGCAGGCAATATTAGTGCTCTGTTTACCTCTTCATATACAAATTAGATTTGTTAATTTGACCAAACATTCTATGTACCTATGCTTTTAAACTCAAATACCTGGCTGGGTCAGGAAGGTAAATAATGTCTCCTTGTGAAATGGGGGTGGGCTCTGTTGGGTTCAAGGAAACAGCACCACTCCTTAAGAAACCTTTTCTGGATTCAGAAAATCTAAGAAATTACTGGCTGGGTGCTAATCTACTATTTTTGGAAAAGGTTCCTGAACAGGTGGTCATGGCCCGATCCAGGCTTGCGTGAATGAAATTGATTTTCAAAATCCATTCCAACCTGGGCTTAGATCCAATTTGTTTTGCACAGAAACTGCCTTGGTCACCCTGTATGACAACCTCTGTTGGAAGAGAGATAGGGGAGTATGTCCTTGTTAATTCTGCTTGATCTCTCCATGGTTTTTGATACCATTGGCCATGGTATTCTGCTGGTGTGGCTGCTCATGTTGGAATGGTCAGCACTCCTAAGCTCAGCTCCTTTTTCAAAAACTAGCATCTCTGAAAGGGCCAATCCACAGGCCTAAAGATAAGCATTTCATAGCTACTGGGACTGGTAGGTTACTGTGGAAGATGCTTGGTTTCCTCAGAGGAAAGTGCCTGTATGGGCCCAGGTTCTGGTTCTATGGATCCTGACCTTATGGCATCAGGTTTGATGGGCTCCTGCATGCCAGCTTGGGAGTCACTGGTTACCTAAACGCCAGCATCAGGCTCAGAGCTAGGAACCTAGTTTAGCTCTTCAGAAGGGGACTCTGTTACCTTAGTTGTGGCTGGACTCTAAGGGTCATGATAGTTCACTTCAATTTGTGGCTATCTGGTTGTTTACTTTACCATTACCCATGATTAAACTGGTTCAGGGATACCTTGAGGCAACTATAAACTGAAATGGTTATTCATTCTGAGAATGAATTCTAATAATATCTTATCCTCCTTCAGTTACTTTCTATTAACTTAAATTCAATCTTCTCCCATCCTTTGCTTTTCTCTTAAGAGACTTGTATTGCACTTATAAGCACATGCTGTTTCTCAAACTCTAGATGCTGAAAGAGCAAGACTCTGGCATTTCTGTTTTTAGTTTTAAGGTGAACCTAAATATTAAAACACACTGTTGATTACTTTGTCACACTATACAAAGATCCATCTCGCATGCTTTGGTACAGTGTGTGCCAAAACAACCTCCAAAGCAACATTCTGGATTTCAAATAATACATGCCAATGATCAGATAATAAAAAGGGATTATTAGTCTATGTTCTGATCAACATGACCTATTAACAGGATTAGCATCAAATCCTTCCTGCTGGCTGCTTTCTTTTCTGCTTCTAAACTTGCTTCAGATTCTATTAAATTATTCCCAAATTTCAGTTTGTGAATGAAAAAGTAAAAGCTCTGGCACTGGGCCACATAATGAAAACACAGTGTGCATTATTTTTATTGCAGGGAACAAAGGCTTCTTATTGTTTAATGGAGTTTATTGGGTAGAACCCGGCCAGCATAGTTCTAATTTTTGTTAAACCACAAACAAGAAGTTTTCTAAGCCCATTTCATGGAAAACAGAAGGGAGACATACTTAGCCGTGAAACTTAAAAGAACTCTTTGTTGAAGAAGCTGGAGCCTTTTTAAGTATTGGCATTTTCATTATTTGTAATGAAATACTATTTTTCTAAACTTTTTCCATCTCTATTTCAGTCTCTCACATTCCACTGCTCTTTTGGGATTTTTAATTTGGCTGACGGACAAGAAAGAGAAACCCCAGGTACCTCTAAATGCCACTAACATGCCTGGCTCTGGTAATATTATCCCGATCTGAAGATTTGCCTATCTTGGGGATGCTGTCATAGTGAAGGACAGCTTTATGAACATAACCGGCCCTCCTTGTTTTTGTGGGTTTACAGAATTTGGACATAAAATAAACAACCGTTTTTGACCTACACCTTATATACAGAGTCCAGGCTGAAGCAATTTAAATATATATTTCCATTAGAACTGGCACAGCTGAGCTGAAGAAATACATGAAATGTCTTTCCTGTTCTGTATAATCAAGGGTGGTGGGAGGAAATGACAAAATTCTGTAAGAACATTCATGGTGTGTGTGTGTGTGTGTGTGTGTGTGTGTTTAATTCAGTGTTAGAAAACATTGGCTGAATTGGAAACATTTAAATCATCTACAGGAAAATATATTCCCTTCCACTCCTCTCTGCTAATTGTTCCAGATTTTTCCACAGCTGTGTTCTGATTACGTTGCTGTGCAACAGACTGAAACAACTCCATTCTATTGGCTAAATAATACATGCTTTTCATAAAACCCTAAAACGTTTAAAAACAGCCCCCCTCACCATCACAAATGAGGCTCCGCAATGAGAAGGAGGCAGGCTGTTAGCAGCATTCAGTTTTCTACCATTCCTTTGACAAA